TTAAGTAATCTCTACCCCACAATGTGGGGCTCGAACTCAAAACCCAGGAATCAGGAGAGTCGCATACCCTACTGACTGAGCCAGCCAGGTGCCCCTTCACTGTGCATGTAAAAGAATGTGGGGGGTAGTGGCACCCGGGTGGCTCAGTCCTTTAAACGTCTGCCTTCGGCTCAGGTCATGATCCCGGGGTCCTGGGATCGAGCCCCACATCCAGCTCCTCCGCTCAGTGGGGAATCTGCTCAAGGATTTTCTCTCTCAGATCTCTCTCTCTCTCTCTCTCTCATTCTCGTTCCCTCTGCCCCTCCCACCACTCATGCTTATTAGCTCTTTCAAAAAAAAAAAAAAATACAGGTTTTTTTTTGTTGTTGTTTTTAAGATTTATTTATTTTATTTTATTCTTTATAAGATTTTATTTATTTGAGAAAGAAAGGGTGCGAGCAGGGGGAATGGCAGCGGGAGAGGGAGAAGCAGGTTCCCCACTGAGCAGGGAGCCCGAAGCGGGGCTCGATCCCAGGACCTCATGACCTGAGCCAAAGGCAGACACTTAACCAACTGAGCCACCCAGGCGCCCCTATTTATTTATTTTAGAGAGAGAGAGCACAAGCAGGAGGGGCAAAGAGAGGGAGAGAGAATCTCCAGCAGACTCTGCACTGAACACGGAGCCTGATGTGGAGTTCGTTCTCACGACTGAGCCGAAACCAAGAGTTGGATACTTAAGCAACTGTGCCACCCAGGCACCCCTAAAACAATGTTTTAATGTTCATTCTTTCCAGCATTATAGTTTTTTTGTACCGGGAAGTATTTGTGAAAGTCTGAACTGTCATACTGCTGTAAATAGAAGTTTAGCTTATTCTTTAAAAAGGCATGAAATATGCAGTGTACTGACTGTAATGTGCTGAGTTAAGTATACTCCTGCTAACTCCCCTGGGCTTTTGAATTTGCATTCATCTTAAACCAAAAAACCACATAGACAGTATCTACAAATGGGACCAGCAGTTAATTTCAATTAATGTGATGAGCAAGAAAGCCTTTCATAGAAGGTAGATGGAACCTACTTTGAACCATTAAGTTGTTTTTGGTACCTCATCTGGACATTTCATTTAAGGTATAGCTGGTTTCAGTCACAAAGTTAAGGAAATAATTGAAGGAGTGAGCATTTTCCCTCCTGCCTAAGACATCTTTCTCAAGAGTGGCCTTAAGTTCAAATGTCCTAGTTTGAATGTCCTAGTTATTAAATTGTATCACTTGCCTCTTAATTTGGAAGTTAAGTAAAATTTTCATTTAACACCTACTACTTAATAATATTGTCATGATTTTAGGTATGTTGATCCAATATTGTCCCTTAAATTGGAAAAATATCATGATATATTCATACAATGGAATGCTTTGTATTTACTAAAAATATTTTAAATGAATAATAATTTAGAGATTTTTCATAATTGGCAAAAGCATAAAACAGTATACGGTATATCTTTCTGTTAAAATAAAATTTTTTTTAAAAGACTAGGAATATTTTAATCCAGTTAAAATGTCAGGGGAAAAAGAGAAAAGGGTATAAGTCAAGGACATATTTTTGTGAATACCTACATTTAAGCAGTGCTAGGAAGAAAAGAACCAGGAAAGAAGAATGTACTAAACTGCTTGAACTGAAGTCCAGTGTCTTGAAAACCAAGGTACAAGGAGAGTTTTAAGAAGTGGAGCATGGGTGGCCCCTAGTCTCTGAAGTTCAGAGAGATGAATGAAAATTGGGACCAAAAAGATGCATTTAGATTAGGGCTTTCACCTTTTGGATTTCATACATGTTAATATGAGGTTTTTTGTCATGCCTCCATTCCCACACCGTGTGTTGTATTTTTGGTTTCATTGACAAAGAGCTGCACCTGTTTCTTCATACTGTAAAGCTGAAGAAAGACAACTATCCAATCTCAGGTGCAGTATTTAGTTCTTATGTGAATTGATTTAGAAACAGGAGAACAGGATTGTTCCAGAAATCCAACCAAGTACAAGGATTCCAGAAAGCCAATCAAGGCTCTTGAGCAGGAAACTCTGTTGTTTATTACATTTTTTTCCCCTTTTCTCTTTTTAAATAAAGACAGTAGGTTATTCTAAAATTCCTTGACTGGCAAAAGCAGCTGAGAATCTTCTCAACTTTGGGACCTGGGCAGAGCTAAATGGGGGAAAGAAGACCTCCAGCCTCCCTTCTTAAGGTCATCAGTTAACCTTCCTACCATCTGCGTTAGAGCTATCTTTTGAGAGTGGAAGCAAAACAGACAGTAAAAAAGTAGAGTAAAAGTAAAAGAATTTATAACTAAAAATGAATTATAAAATAAAAATGAAAAACACAGTCAAAGCCACCACAAAGGGCCAGACCAACTTCTTACTCAAAATTTGCAAATGACAATGCCTGACTCTCAAAGGAATAACTCCTAAAGCAATAAGCCTAAGAAGCAAAGAGCTCCTCAGGGAAAGATGTCAGAATGTTTGTCCCCAACCCTGTCCTTGGAGAGAAAAAGCCTATGAGTGAAGCCCCAGCTTATGCTTCCTTCAGGGGTCAACACCATTGGCCACAGTCCACCACTTTTACCCAGTGAGCTGCCTGGAAACAGTTCCCTCCTGTCTCTCTCCTTCTTTGCTATCTGTCTTCTCTGGTTGGGAGTATCCACAGTGCACTTGTGGCCTGTGTGGAGCCCTCCTAAGAGCAGTAGCTCTCAAACCCTAGCATTTCTGATTCCGAAGTCTGGGGTAGTGTACAGTAATCTGGATTTTTAACAAGTTTTCAGGTGCCGTCGCTGCTGGTGGTGGTCAGGAAAGCACACTTTAAGAACTGCTGTCTTAGACCTGGAGTGGGAGGGCTGAAGGGGAGGTCAGCAAACTACATGTCACAGGCTGTAGCTAGCCCTGAATTAAAAGTGGTCTTTGCATTTATAAAGGATTATAAAAACAAATGGAGAGTATGTGACAGAAACCGTATGTGGCCTGCAAAACCTAAAATATTTACTATCTGGCCCTTTCCAGAAAAAGTCTGACCCCTGACCTAGATCATGGACCAGAGCCTTAGCTGCAAAGGTTGCCTGCTGGTCTAATACGAAGTGCTTTTACCCAAACCTCAAAACGAAGGAAGTGCTAAATACTGATACTGATTTTCATTTGCTCACAAACTTCTCCAACCTGTTTCTCTTTTATAAAGGCCCACCATAGCCTCATGAACAGGGTGTTTTGCATGTGTTAAGAATTGTTGACATTATTTTATTTTGGGATCAGTAATACTACACATCATATATAGTTCAAAGATATAAAAGGGTATATAGTGAAAAGAAAATCTCTCCAATACCCCTGCTCCCTACCCCTCATCCCCTCATGCTGGAGGTACTATTACTATCTTGTATATCCTTCCGTAGATAGTCTGCATACGCATTTACTTACATATACTTGTATAAATTGTGTATATAACTATATGTATAAAATATAGTTTTAAAACACAAATGTTATCATACTGTGTCTTCAGCTACATACTGCTTCTTTTCATCCCACATTAGTTTTTGGAGATCATTCCATGGCTATATACTACCCTTTTTCACTTTTCTTAAAAGCCACGTATAATATTCCGTTGTATGAATATACAGTAATTTTTAACCACTTCTCTGACTGAATTTTACGTTGATAAACTCCTAGAAGAATTACTGACTAAAGAGTGTGTGCATTTGTAATTTTGGGGAGATCATAGTATATTGCTCTGCATATAGTTTGTACCTGTCCACATCCCCCCCAGCAATGTGTAGGAATCAGCGTGTGTTTCCCCACACCTATATTATACCCTATGTTCCAGACAGTTTGATCATGGCCAATCTGATAAGTGAAAAAGTATGATTTAATTTGTATTTCTCTAGAACACTTGAGCATCTTTTCATATGTTTAAGAGTTGTTTGTAGTTCTTTTTCTGTGAACTGTGTTCAGTTACTTAATGGAATTTTCTATTAGTAACTGGTTTTAATCTTATTAATTGGGTATCTTTCCAATTGGTCTGTTATATGATTAATATTTTCCTAGTTTGTCATTGTCTTTTTTTTTTCTGCCATGCAGCAATTTAACTTAAAATTTTATGTAGTTAAGTCTGAATTTTTTTTTCATGGCTTCTGTGTTTTTTGCCTTAGCGTCCCCATTTGGGGCCTTTTTTTTTTTTTAAGATTTATTAATTTATTTTAGAGGGAGAGAGAGCACAAGCTTGAGGGTCAGAGGGAGAAAGAAGAAAGAATCTCCAGCAGACTTCGTGCTGAGCGTGGAGTCGGATGCTGGGCTTGATCTCATAACCCTGGGATCAAGACCTAAGCCAGGACCAGGAGTCGGTCACTTAACTCCTCCACTTGATCCCCCTCTCTCTCTCAAATAAATAAATCTTTTAAAAAAATCATCTAAGTCATCTACTTCTCAAAGTTTTATGTGCATCTAAATTACCTTGGGATTTTGTTAAATATGTAGATTCTGATTCACTGAACTTAGTAGATTCTGAGGTTCAGTAGTTCTAACAAACTCCCAGATGCTGAAGCTGCTGGCCTTTGAACCACATTTTAAGTGTCAGTACTACTGCCTGGACCGTACCAACAAAGTTTTTTATTTGATAGGTCTGTAGTAGTTTCAGAGATTTCCTAGGTGATTTTCATGTACTTACAGGTAAGATTGAGAACTGCTAGGTTAGGAGATCAGAATTTCAGTCATTATTATTTTGGCAGCCATTGCTTGAAGAGCCAGATAATTCACTGGTATGTAATAAGTGGATGGGGCATTCTTAGCATAAAAGTGATTGCTAAGAATAACAAATTGGTTGGGACTCAGATCCTTACACATTTTCCTGCCACTTCCCCCCTCACTCTTTGCTTAAATGCTATAGAGGGATAGTAGAAAAAGTTACAGAAATAAAAAAGCACTATGGTATTTGGTTATTTCCTTTTCAAAGCATTAAAGTGCCTGAAGTTCTTGAAAAGTTGCCATGTGTTTTTCTACAGGTGGAATGAGGTATCATCTGCTGTCTCCAGAGGATCGAGAGGAATTGGTAGAAGGCACAAGGCCCAGAAGAAAGAAACATGACTATCGCATAGCCCTATTTGGAGGCTCCCAGCCGCAGTCTTGTAGATATTTTAACCCAAAGGTAACTAATTTTTGTTTTTGCTTTTGAAAGCCTTGAGCACGTATACACTCACCTGCCGTTAGTAATAATAGGTCATGCCTTTAGAGAAGCTGCAGTTTATTCTTTCATGTATCTTTTGAGATACACAGTTCTCTTTGTTTAACAAATAAGGAAATTGAGGCTTAGTCAGATTTTAAATGTTTCCATAATTGCTCTGGAGCACTGCATAGTAATCGCTATCAGAGAAAATGGAAAACTAGTTTTCCTATCTTATTTTGTTAGCAACTCCTTGCTTTCCTTATGTGTCATCTTCAGTGAAAATATTCTGGAGCTGTATGTGGTTTTTTGGTTTTTTTTAGTAGTTATGTTTTAATGTAAAATAATACATAGTAATTCTAGAAAATTTGGAAAACCAAGAAAATAACAAAGAAAAAAGATAAAGTTACCTTTAACTCAACCATCTAGAAATGGTCGCCAATTTTAATGTGTTTTCTGGTATATGTTATGCCATTTGGGCCAGCAAAGTCTGAGTCTTAGGTCTAGAAACACAATTTTTCTTAATTATTAGTTAAAACCTTGAGAGAATACAGTCACATTTCTACTCCTTGTTTGTTAGACCTGTGTGTTTTGGCTATGGAAGAGATAATACCGTATTTTGCTAGTTCTCTATGTATTTCTGGGTCTGAGCAAATACCACAGTCATAAAAGATATCACCTATAACTGGTATTAAACCTAAGCATATAATGGTCTGTTTTATCATTTTGTTGGCCCATTTTTGGTTGATGATAGATAGCCAATGAGTGAAGCATCCTCTTGACTTCAGGATACTTATCTGATACTCATTTCTTTGGAGGTGTTTTATGTAGTACTGTAGAGGTGATGAACAAAGCATTTGTAAAAACGCATACAGTGATGTTGTCAAGAGTGCAAAACATAGTGAAGATCAATCCAAATTCAGAATCAGTATCAATTCCAATGAGAGGAGGGCATTGTCCCTTTAACAGTGGAGGGGTCTTCAGTGTAATTAGCTTGGCATTAGGTAACTAACTGGTTCCCCAAGGTTTGGTAACAAATCAAGAGCTTAGGATTGGTCCATATTCCTGACAAAATGGGTGCTGTCCAGTAGTGGATAGCCGCTTGACCTTAGGGAGAGGAAGTGCATTAGCTTCCAAAGCTGCTCGCTTATGCAGCTTCTATCACTGCCCCTGTGGTCACTCATAAACCCACTGAGCAAGCCTCAGATTGGAGAGGGAAAATAGAGATGCAGTCCTATCCATGTGATTAAAATTATTAAGAGACTTTGCTGAAGTTGTGGGTACTCTGGTAAGAATTCATATGGGATGCAAATTTGTGTCCTTTCTAAAGGGTCATCTACATTATCCTTCCTCAAATCTTTTTGTCAATAATCTTACATTGTTACTTATTTCAGGTCTACATCCATCTAGGTAAACCATTAGCCACTGTCAAGAATTGATAAAAACTGACCTTACTTAGCCTTTCACTCCTGAAGGGCATAATGGAAAATAAAAGGACCTGCTTAAGGTTCTGCCAGATCAGAAGGTTTCTTCTGAATTGTCCTTCAGGTACCATTTCTGAAGGGACTATAATGCTTTAGCAGTCTGCTGTTGGCTAGTACTGTCATAAATGAACCAAGCTCAGGTCTCTCAAATTTATCAGCTGATTTATAGGGACTACCTCTATGGAGACATAACCCTGGTTGACAGAGAAGGCCTCCTAGGAAAGGGTTGTAATTAGCTCATTTGGGTATTCTGTGCCTTTGAAACCTCTGTAAGCCCAGGGCTATGTTTAAATACCAAATTATTGGTTGAAGGCATGCTATTTGTGATTTGGTAGATTAGGTAAAACTGTTGAAAATGTGTTAATGGTATGGTTACCTGGTTTTCCTTGATGTCAGACATTTGCTGTCTGTCAAGACCTAGTGGCCAGCCAGGAGCTATTTCCTGAAAAAAATGATACCTGCTTAAAGGAGGTTGACCTAGCTCCAGAAGCTCTGTGGTCATATTGGAACATGATCCAAGCTATAAGCAGCATCCTTTTTTTTTTTTTTTTTTAAAGATTTTATTTATTTATCTGACAGAGAGAGAGACAGCGAGAGGGGGAACACAAGCAGGGGGAGTGGGAGAGGGAGAAGCAGGCTTCCCGCTGAGCAGGGAGCCCGATGCGGGACTCAATCCCAGGACCCTGGGATCATGACCTGAGCTGAAGGCAGATGCTTAACGACTGAGCCACCAGGCGCCCCTATAAGCAGCATCCTGGTCAGTATCCTGCTGCCCCAGGGTCACAAGTAATCTAAGCAGCCAAGCCATTTTACTGTAGCCTGTCCCATTTAGAAAGTTATCTCCTGCTCTAGCTTTTACTTGCAACTGGAGGGGATTTTTGGCTTACCCAGTTAAAGTATTTAAATGGGACACTCAGTTACAGGATATGCCATCTGTAATATGTGGGAGATACTTGGGGCAGCAAGGTATATCCTTTGTTTCCAAGGAGCTATACCAACCTACTGTAGGTCGGAACTTGACAAACTTTTTTTCTGTGAAAGACCAGAAAATAAATATTTTCCATTTTTTTTTTATACATGAACAAATGGGCATGGCTGTGTTCCAGTAAAACATTATTTACAAAAACAGGCAGTGGGCTAGAGTTGGTGTGTAGGCCATAGTTTGCCACCCCTGCTCTAGACCTGTAGACATCTAGGAACTTCGTAGTGACCACCACTGTATTCTAGGATAAACTTCTCTCAAGCACTTGTCTTACCATGTCCTGTTCTCCAGACCTGATCAGTATTATGGGCATCAATATACAAGACAGTATGTGACTACCTTTGGTAAAGTGAGATAGACCAAGGCTCCTGCAGCTTAGATTACAGCATACAGAGAGTCAGAAGATCCTTGGGGTCAGACGATGAAATTATTTTGTTTTCCCTGCCAGCTGAAAAGAAATCCCATCTAATTGTCTGAGTAGACAGTAACAGAAATATACATTAACCAAAGTGTTAGCTATATGCCAAGTTTTAGTAGTTGTTTCAGTCTGGTCCAGGAAGAAGACCACACCTGGCACTGCCGCAACAATTAGAGGCACTGGTCTTGGCAGTTCCTACAAAGCAGCAGTTCCTTCTCTATTTTGGTAGAGAAGGAGGTCTTACCAAAGAAGGCTTCTTCTGCTTACTGTAGTACTTAACACCATGATTCATAGAAGAGATATGCTGTCAGATAGCAAAAAGACCTCTCCAAGTATGGAGGATCAGAGTTGGATTGGTTAAACACCTTCATATTTGGACTGTCCCTACTGGGCTGCTCTCAGCTCATCCATCTGTGTCTGGCCCATTCCTCGGTCTTCAGAATATAAACTGATTTTCTTACAAAGACATCTGGCTTCCTTTCTCAGTAAAGACTGGGTGTCCGGCAGGTAACGCAAGGCTTCCTGGCCTATGCAGTACAATCCAATAAGCACAATGGCATTGTGCTTAAGAGATTGATACACCTACCCATCTGTTTCACACCGGGTAAGGTTAAGACTCTTGACATCCCAGTGCCTATTTAATTTCAGTGCTTTTTGATTTTTCAGGATCCTTTTGATTCAAGAGCAGGAAATTTATAAATATGATGTTTTTTCCAAGCAAAAATTGAGATCATAGGACTTTATAATTCTATGAATTGCAGCTTTCAGGTGTTGATCATAATCCCCTCTTGTTTTCCAAAGCCTAACTATGGTATTGGTTTACAGTTAAAAGCAAAAAACCTAGCTACACTTACGAGGAGAGCATAACATACAGACTTGTCGAATGTTGTACACCTGAAACTAGTGTCACATTGTGTGTCAACTATACTTCAGTTTTTTAAAAAGGCAATTAAACTACATTTTGGTAGAAAATATTTTATATTAAAATAAAGGAGGTGGCTATTTTGATGTACAGAGGGATCGGAGAATCCTGATTTCATTTAGGAGACAGTAAGCATTGTTTGTAGTATATGGCAAACGTGGAATGACTCTTAGCACTTTATTTTGGTCTGTAGTCCTAACATTTTCCTTGATTTTTTTTTTTTTTATTGGACAGTTGAAAAGAAACACGTATTCTCCACAAGCCTGGAAATGAGACTGTAACTTCAGAATTCCTATTTGCTCTTATCAATGGCCCATACATCTTACTGCTCTTTTGTATAGTCAACCACAAATTTTTAGACTTTCAATGGAAAAATTCAAATGAGAAAATAACTACCAATAAAAATATCCTCATTCTATCAATTATCTCTTATGCCCTGAAGCTAACACCATTAGAATCCCACTTCAGTGTTTATTAAATGTGTCTGTTAGAATTACCAGGCCCTCCCTTCTTTTTACTATAAAACTTTATCTTGAGGAACTTTCACCCATTACTATTTTTTGTATATAATATTTTAATATAAGTTGATTAATCATTATTCTAATAAAATAATTGGGAAGGCTGATTTCATTATTATTTATCTCGAATCTGCCTAAGTGAACATTATTTCATTATTCAATTCAAATAGATTGCTTAATGAAAAGTACTGTACAGGAATTACTTTAAAATTCTTGAACTTAGAATTCAGAAATTCATTAAGTGGGACCCATTTGTATGTCCTGTACTAGCCAAAAATTTATCATTTTCAGAATTGATCTCCTTCAAAGGGGGCAATCGAAGCAGTATTACATAATCAAATTATCCAGAATTAAGACAGTATCCCTAAAAACTATTGTCTTTAGATTTTTCCTTGGATGTCACTGGTGAGAGGAGGCAAATATTTGTATTAATTGCTGACTGAAAAATGATAAAGAAAATCTTAATTTTCTTTCCTGAGTATTAATAGAAAAAAGTCTTGGGTTGCTATATCAAATTGAAATTATATAATTCTTGTTATGGTCCTTTTATAAAGCTTGTTGAGCCTCCCTTTCCCCACCTGTACCTGTTTTTAAAGTTTTCAAGTCCTTAGTGATTACTGAAAGTTGTTTATATGTAACCAGTTCTCTATTCTCTTATTAT